AACAATCATTTCATTGTGCAACCAATCGAATGTTATTTTTTATTCGACAAAATTGAATATTGATTATGACAACATTATAATTTGTTGATTCAACACATCACTATCAAGAAATATGTTGTTATTTCAAACAAATCACTTTGTTGAACAGAACCAACAGATACATTATATCAAACAAATATTTTGTTGAATGATTATCTAGTTGCATTTTTGCCACTAGGTGGCGTTTCTTCCAACCTTCCTACGCTCGCCTCGATTGGGGTGAACATATACCTACCCAAAACATCCGTTAATATAAATATATTAGGCTGTCCTAGACTTTCTTATGACGCTTACACAAGCTCAAAGTCTTGGATCAACTGAGGAAATTGATCCCTAATTCCTGTTAGTTTCGAAATTCAGTCATTGGTTTTTTTTATATCATTCAGCAAAATATCTTGTCAATTCTGATTAAAATTTGGTTGATCGAAGATAATATATTGTTATTTTAACATTATCACTCTCTGAAAAACTGAAAATCTTGTCACTTGAAAGAAATGATATAATCATTTCAATCAACTGAATCGTTCATGAGAGCAGGATATTGTATTAGGAACAAAATGATCTTTGTTTATTCAACCAACTCCTGCTGCTAATTTGAATCATTAATGAGTTACATCAAATGAATTTTGAATTGAAAACTGACAAAGAACATTTGTTGCGGCGACAAAATATTTTGTTCTGCAAGATAAAGAAATTAATGATATTGAATTGAAGAAAAATGTCACTCAAAAATTCATTGAAATGATCGTATGTATGGCCGCCAGCCTACATACGACATACCTAATCATTGCTGCACATGGTGCTTTATATTATGTGTCTGATGATGGCCGAGTGCCAGAACTAGTTACACGTCTTATGTTGAAAAATTTTGTTATGGTCGACCAACTACGTTTTTTTTTGTTATTTTCCATTGATCATTCATCTCATGAAATACATTATGTCGGACTTCCATCGTATCAACTGGAATCACTTGATATGTTCACATGATTCTAGTCTCAGATCAGATCATTGATATATTTCAGTACTACATTTGGTGAATCCCACTGTTCTGATATTGAATATTAGGATTCACAGGTTTTTATATTATATAACAAAATGCACTGTTCGATATCTAATAATGAAGCACACTGTTTTTTGTATCATTCAGACTCCTCAGTTGTGTAATCATCTTATACCTATTCCTTTCGTCACTGAGCCTGAGTCTGAGTCTGTTCTTCCTCGACGGTCTGATGAGTAACTTTCTATCAGAACATTGAGGAGAGAAAGAAATGTTGCATATACTCCTCTAGATAATGATAATGTGGAATGAAATTATATTTTTTTGCAAAGTGAATCTGACTTCAATGTTCAAGAACGTTTAGTAGAATGAAGAGGGAAGTCCACTATAGCATAGTGATCAAACGCAGTGTATATTGGATGCATTGAAAGAGTTAGAATCACAGTCTTTATGTATATCAACACTTGCGTTCTATTTTCTTTACAGTATTTTCCTCGTGTGTCTCCAGTTCTTTCTCGCACAATCTAAAAGTTCCCTTTCCTTCTATACTCAATGACAAACTAAGAGTTATAAAATCCAGCAGACTGACATGATTCATGAGAAATCGAGATCAACAGGTATGACAATACTGTCCAGAAAAAGATGAACTCTCGTTCCACGGATTCGTGAAAATATACAACGGTCCATCGAAACCTAGGTTTGGCATCACAAGAGAGTACATCTCTGTTACCACTGTCGAATACGCATCAGCTCACGGCGTTGCCTAACATCTAGCTAGTTTAAATTCGTTTTGGATTCGAACAACTAGAAGTTTCGTGTCCTCGGATATGAAGATACTTGCTATACGTAGATACCATTCGTCATTCATCAATAATATTTTGGGCTTTTCACGAGATGATTCAAATAATTGACATAATCTTCACATTCTGGAATGATCAGAATCTGACCCAAATTTGAGATGACATTTACCTGATTGCTTTTATAATGGAGACATCAACTTTCAATAAAAACTGAAGATCACAGATAGGATAACAACAGTAAACCTATCGACTTACTTTAGTAAAAAAGCCAAACATCACCCATGGTGAAGAAGAAAATGATCTTGCCACGTCTATTTCTCTCCTTCATGCCAAAGCATCTCAGAAATTGATACAGCTGAGCATTGGGAATTGCTTTCAGTACCTCGGTATGTATTCATTTAAATAGATCATATGATTAGTATCACTATCATCTGATGTTTCTGAAATTTCGTCATGTCTCATTGAATAACCATCAATAGTTTCACACCATCAGTACATTCAAGTGAAGAAATTGTCTCACTGAGATGTCAAAAAATTAACTGGCGTGCTTCCATCATTTTCTCTTCTAATGAACTTGAATATTGTCCCTACTTCATGTTTTTTCAAGTCAAGAAATGAATCTCATGAAATACATTATGTCGGACTTCCATCGTATCAACTGGAATCACTTGATATGTTCACATGATTTCAGTCTCAGAATCCATGGATTCAGTATGGTTCATGGAACGAGGCAGTCATTACCCAGCAAACACATCTGTTATATTTACATCACTGTTATATAAAATCAACGGAACTTTTTTATATAGAATATTTACGTAAATATTCCATAATACTTCTGAAATATGTGAACCTCCTATTTATATAAAATATTTACGTAAATATTCCGTAACAATTCTGAAATATGTGAACCCCATAATTATATAAAAATGTAACGTAACTATGATGTAAATGATATGTGACAATTTGATATCAATATAAAAGCTTATATGATAGCTACATGACTTTACTAGGACTCTCGGCCGTAAATTCTTTGCAGACTTGATTCTGCGTCAATTAAGGATATTCGTTGGGATGATCAGTACCCGTGGTCTCGCGCTGTAATGTTCCCCCACCGCGATGATTATTATTTTTCGCTCTCGCACTGTAGCGTTTCTCCGTGACCACTCTGAGGTTATAAGTAATGAGTGAAGACTTGGAGACTGAAAGCATTTTCAGTATTTTCTTACTATTTCGAGTGATTTTCTTGTTTCCACCAATTTTCTGCGCTGCAGTGGTCCCCCATCCCACATGCCCAATTCCTATTGGTCGACTACTTTGAGGTTATGAGTTATAATTATAAGTGAAGACGAGACCATAAACAAACTACACTGAAGGCATTTTCGGTATTTCATAACTATTTCGAGTGTTTTTCTTGTTTCTACCTGCTGTGTTTGATGAATTAAACTGAACTAAAAGTGTTAATAAGAATAAGTGGAAGTGAGTGAGAATAAAACATGCCTTGAGATTTTCCTAACCTCTGTGAAAACAACAAGAAAGAAATAGTTACATATCTATCCTGGACCTTTTAATATGCCTAGAATAAAATAAATGATGAATCTGGTAGGTATTGATAGAATCCGAGGTATAATCTGGTCAAACTCCAATTATCATATGAAATTGAACAAAAGCCAGTGATTGATTATGATGGCTGATGAAAACCCCAGTGAAAACCCCAAAGTGCCTCACATTCTGGATTAAAGTTATTATTATTGGTTATGGAAATTTAATCATTTTGTCAGTGATTATTATTTTTTGTTTCATAAATAAGTTCATGAAGAACCCCAATAAGATGAATCCTGAAATGTATACTTTTCCAGGTAGGTACATCTTTTCAAAACTCAAGGTGGTAAAGATGGGAGAGACTATCTATATAGGGGCCACACAATGTTCCTGGTAAGGGCAGAGGGGGAACATTGAAGTCAGAGATTTGAAATCAATCAAAATATCATTATCTGGTAATATATATTTTAGATTTTAATTTGAAAAATGAAAAACAAAGCAATATTTTTTCAGACTCCATCATTATCACACACCCTTCGATATCTTACTCTGATAGATAAACCAGCAGGAAGGTGGTCCTGATTTAGTCACCAGGGGTTAAATGGAGGGTTGAATTGGGAGATCAAGAAGAAATATATAATTTGATTACTCACAATTTTGATTTTTTGAACTTTTGAAGTATACATTAAATGGTCTCACTATTTTCAAAGAAAAATAAAGGTCATGTTTTTCATTTGATAGTTGAGTTGTTTTATCATCTTCTATTCAGGACATTCCATTTTATTCGATTTGAAGATTATACAGTCTATAATTTTTTGACAATTTTTTTGTTTTGAAGCTAGCAACTGATCAATCATACTGTGTACTATAATGCATAATATTTGGAACAGAAAGTCTTAAAAATTTTCGAGCAGAGTTTTTTTGTACATGAGGAGAATTGAAGTGAATACTGAATGATATAGGAGATAATAAACCATCAAGAATTTTATGACTAATCTGTCTCTGTTACATTTTCCCACACGATCAAAAATTGCCAAATAACTTATTTTTCACACTAGCCCACTTCCAACTCTCATGCACATTTCTATAACCATATATCATCATCAGTAATATCAGTATAGATATTATGGAGTGTAGAGTTTGGATCACCTACTGAGATGATTGTACTTAGATATCAATATGTGCATATGCCTGTGAAGTGAGTTAGTGAAGTAGAAGAGGTTATTCGTGAAATTCCGATATTCATTTCGGATATTAGTCAAGTAGTTTCATCAATATTATATTGAAATGGAGTCATATTTGTAGCTGACATTTTTACATAATAGGGATGTAAATTTTACATAACATCTAGAGAATGTTATGTAATATTTATGTCAGTTTGTTATATACATAACATCATATTTATAGCAATGAAATTATATAAAATATATATAAAATAGTGACATAATTGTTACGTAATAATCATGTAGTATTTGTGGCGGACATTTCGCCATAACAGTGATGTAAGTCTTACATAACATAGTTACATAACACGTATTGTCAGTTATGTAACACTTATGTCAATTTTACATAATTGTGTTTGCTGAGTATGTTCTTGAACCAATGAGTGATGATGAGGTACTTACACGGTAAAAAAACGAATCATTTGAGATGACTCTGCCAGTCTGCCAGTTGTAGAATCCCAGATCAGTGACAGTTGGCTTCAATCTCTTTCGTCCTTGAAAAATAAAATTGATTGCAATATGTTAATCCAAGAACCATGATTTGAATAGTCTCTGTAGGTTAATCGAGGAGGTGGTACATTCATCATTCTAGATTTTCTGGGATTTTCTCTCTTCGTTTTCATAGAATAGAAATATGAATAGTATTTCCTTTATTCCTCTTCTCCAAACCTTTTTCAATACAAATTGTCACTGACAAGCTAGAGATTTCTTCTTTTGGGCACACTGATAGGAAAATTCTTCAAACGCAGTGACATTTTGAGGCAAATCATCTGATCTGTCCCTTCTACACGTATATTGAGATAATATTCATATCGTCATTTTATCGAAACGAGGAGAGAAAATCCCAGAAAATCTGGAATGATGAATCATGATTCACTCATTCAGGGAGGGCATTGATGCTTCGAAGCTCGATTTCTTGAAAAAGGATATGATTGAAACTTGACGCTTGAAACTTGATCTAGAGATGATCGTAATTGAGAAAACGAGGTTCATAACAAGGTTCATATATCTCGACATTATTATTAATTATACCAGGGCGCACTAGACCAAATCTAGAGTGTAGGAATCTTTCTAATAGAATGCCCTGTATGTCAGCACTATCCATGAAGCATACATGTAACCTTTATTGATGATATCGTTGACTTTATGCTGATCATGTCGAAGTTAAGCATTTTTTTGTCGTCGTCACAATTATGGAATTAGATTGAAAATCATTGTGATATCATTAAAAGAGAAGTTGCGTGATATTTCTTCTCGAGTTTTTTACATGAAATACAACCTATATTATTTTGTTATCCGATGTGGAATCAATACACAAACATATCTCATCTCAACATCCATATTGATGTTCATAACCATTTTTGAATTATTGAACTTTGATAACTTCAGGTTGCTAATTTTCATCTATACACATTCTTATCTGTTATTAAAACATCTGAAGTTCTATCAATAATACAGTAACCCAGTTATTTCATCGAAATAATCGGGGCCCAAATCATGGGAAACAAGAAGCAATAGGAGCAGGACGTAGGTTTTCTATTTTGGAGGTTATAACATCTTGGTAATACTTCTATTGGCGGAGAATTTTGGAGAACGAGTTTTGGTATAATGTTGTTCGGCCTATTCCAAGGTTGAAAACGAAATGATGCATCGACTAGGCCTGTCGAGTACGTCTGACTGGTATCGCTAGTGACGAAATCATAGCAAAGATTTCTGGGGAAAATATCCCGTGAGAGTATCTATAGAAAAGTGAAAGTTCGCCAAGTTCCTTACGATGTTCTTATGCGGTCAAAGGATTAATGAATGTAGTACCACTCACCAAGCGAATGGAACTTCTCTGGATGGAATCTAAGAGCAGCGTATGTTTGGGGTGCTGAATAACCCTTGGCTGAACCACATAATATGTGAGAACATGTTCTAAAAGTGTTGAGCTATTAACATTATTTTCGCCTGAAAGAGTATTACTGATGAAAACCTACAATGTTAATGACATGGTTCAAGTGGTCTTCTCAACCTGAGTTCAGATTAGATCAGATTTATAATGGGGCCTTCGAGCTATTTGCCTCCTTTCCAGATCTATTGTGTCCGCCCTCAAAATCGTTTAGAGTTCTTCGGCTAGCTCCGCCTTCTCTATGTGACTCCATAGGCTAGCTTCCAGATCCCTTGTGTATCTTTGGGCTTCTGGTTTTTCCTCACCCAGCGTGAGGTTAGTCTTGACAAGCTCTCACAGTGGCAAAGTATGTTTACTGCTGACAGAACCTGCACCGCAGTTCTTTAGTCCGACCTATCGTACTCATGTGTTTTTTGAGCCTACAATGCCCTGTGAGAAGTCCCACTAGTATTCTAGTTGAACTCCGTTTCTGGCTTAGTAGATATTCTGTGACTGTTGGCGATGATTTTTTAATAAACTCTTTTGTCTGTCTCATACCTGGCAAGTTGTTCCACCATTCTTGAGATTTGGTTTACATCCATGATTTGATACTAGTCTTTTGTATAGCCTACGCAATACCACAAAAGGGTTCTGGGCCATTCAGAGCTTTGTTTGTTTCTGCTCCGGCAAGTGAGTCTGCCTCTTCATTGCCCTCGTACCCTATATGTGCTGGTGCAAGAGTCAGTCTGTTCTGACTGACCAGTTCATTTAGGGTTTCTGAGCAGTCCCATACTAGTTTTGAGCTAGTATGGGACGGCTAAGGAACCCTAACCTGAGTTTAGAGAACTCAATTCATGTCAATTCAATCATCACAATTTCCGAGATATGTCTATTTCTTTCTAAATAATTTCCGCCGTAGAAACATTTTCGGAGGATTAAAATCCGTTACTTTGAATAACACCATCGTATACACGAGCAAATATGTATAGTTAATAACACATCACGATCTCGCTGTCACCAAAAAAACATGCTTGAACTATTTTCATTATCTTCATAAAATGTAGGTTGTAGATTGTGGATGGGTCGTAAAGACTGGGAGACCATTTGATCACTGTGACATAGGAGATCTATTGTGATCACCCTTATTTAGTATCGGTCCTCTAGCCTCGACTTTCGATATATCCTAGGATTTTCATGACGGTGGAATTCTCCACCTTAGCAGGTGTGAGATAGACCTATTCTAGGTGATTCAGCCTTTGGCAGACTAGTACTCTACATGAGCAGACTAATACTCTACATAAGCAGAGTATGTGTTCCGCAGTTTCGGTCGTATTGTTGGAAAAGTGTCTGTCTATGCCAGGCCTTTTTTTCAAGGTTTTACCTCAGAGGGCATTGCCCTGTGAAAAAAACTTGTGATAAGCTCTAGCTCTGGTTCGCTGAGGATGAGTTGCTTTTTGGCTTGGTTCTGCGAATTGTCGATGAACCGTTTCGCTTATCGTTGACCTGGAGTTGCTCTCTAGAAGGAGGACTTTTTCGAAAAAAAGCGATAAAAGTTTGAGCTGGATATAGTAAATGCTTGAGTATTTCATCCTCGGATTCAATTTTCATACACAAAATAGTAGGTGTCATTTAGAATGGTTGAGTTGAATTTTTTGATGCGAAATTCGTCTGCGCTCATGTGGTAGATGATGGATCCTCCGATGAGACATTAGGAGTTCCACTAAACTGTTTTATGCTGTTCCACAAATTTGGTGCTCTTATCTAGAATGGTTTGCAAGATACAGATGTTTTCTAAAACTATAGTACGGCGGCAATTATCACAGGAATCAAAGACATATCACGAAAACTGTAATGGATAAATTAACAATAATTCTGTTGCCTCAACTGATATTGAAAAGTAGAATCGAATCATGTGAAAAATATTAGGATTCCATATAAAAAAAATTGTCAACTTTTGGCATACCCTGTATAGCTGGAGGACTGGAATTTCTAAAGTTTTCGATCCTTCTGGAAGTTGGAGAACTTTCAATGTGTGGCCTACGTGAATTGTCCTGTTTCATTTCTACTGAACCAAGTACGTACGAATTCGAAATATCAAGACCTATCAAAATTGGCAAGAAATAAAGGGTGTCTATTGAAATTGAAAGAGTTGATAGTACTTTTGGTTGAATCGTTGAGTGAATTATCAACCAAAACAATTCAATTCAATATTTATCGCTTCGAAAAACGGAAGTTTTAACTCGAGAGTTTGTGGTTCTGACATAATATTTATAATGAGGCTCTATCTTATTCCTATGGAAGGTGAGTGCCTAAGAAAGAGGAGACACAAGCCGTGTCCAGAATACTACATTACCCAGTCCTGAAGGATACAGAGGTGGCAAGAGATACAATAAGATAGTACATCGTTGAACAAGCACGAAACGATAGACATCTTCCGCGAGAATAAAGTTTGCAAATCATACGAGCAAGAAATAAGTATTCCGTGCGTGTCACACACTATAATCGAGGTTTTCAGTTGAGGCTTATGATAGATACTAGGATACTAACATACCTGTCATTCATTGATTACAAAAGAGCGCAATCTTAGAATGTTACCAATTTAATTTGCGATGAATTATTTAGACTTTTCGACAGTTATATTTTCTAGTGCTTGTACTGAGTTATCTATATTGGATGGACAGATACAATTTGCAGGTCTCACGACAAAATATATAGGGCAATCGAACAGAATATGTTCTATTGTTTCTAGTTCATTCTGGTATGCAATAGTTCTTCCAATCTGGATAGGGACTTTCAATTCCAGAAAGTCCTGAACATTCATGCTCTTGGTGAAATTGCAGAAGAAATAGAGAAAAGTCGAGTTCTCAGTTCATTTATTTATTTATTTAATTATTTCCATCCATCTCGTAATTTAAAGTAGATATTGTGCCTAATTTCCGAAAATGGATGTTCATCGTACCTGTCCACGAGTAACTAATCGTTCAGGTTGGGAAAGTGAGAATGTAGCAAACTTATGAAATTTTGAAAAATGTGGAAATTCAATTCAAGAAAAAATTATACATGAGGGCTAACAAGGCACAGCAGCTTTTCGTCTGGCGAGCAATGGTAGTGAATTCTGACAATTGAATGACAAAGGGCGCCACTTGATTTGATATAGGCAAAACCAAGAAAGTTATAGTGAAATTCAGTCTAGCTTCCTGAAAAAGAAATTGAAGAAAGAACACTGTATGAACCCAGATATTATTTAATGAAGATAAAATTCAGTTTTCTTTTACCTACAAGGTAGATTGCTGTCTAAGTAATCTGATAGAATTCAAAATATTCTCAGTAAAAGTTACTATGTATGACCAGTGTTTCAAAAACCCTAAAAATCCCCTTTATAGTACTATAAACCGGATGCACATATTATTATTATGCTTAAATCATAAAATGGGCATTTAACAACCTATTAAATATCGTAAAAAAATAATGGTGAAGAATACCAGACATTGAGACATCCTCAAGAAAAACTGATGGTAAATTCCATAGTAAGTATTGACTTAAATTTTGGGTGGCTTTCTTACTCAAGCCACATGCTAGTAGGGCAACTAGCAGGGTGGCATCCTGACGGTGTTCTTATCCTGT